AGGCTGTGGCAACATTATTAGTGCCAGTGTTATAGTCCAAACAATCTTGACCGCTGCCTGCATTCCATAGTTGGATTTCTTGGGTCCCAGAGTTGTACTTGAATAGTTGTCTCCATCCATAATCACAAGTATTCATGTAGGCATTGCCGTCGCTTGCAATCTCGACACAAAGACTGCTGTCAGTGAAACGTGTAATCACAGAGTATTCTGGAGGGGATTTGACTGTTATCCCCACACTCGATGGAACAGAAAACTTTTGGTTCCTCCCATTGTGACAACCATGCCTACATCATAAGATGGGAGGGAGGATCAGTTAGTACCATGATGTGCATATCGAATCTTGAAGGTGAAATGGTGTCCAACTTGACTTACATAATCAAATTGTTGCCTCCACCGAACCATACATCCAAGCAGTAACCACTGTATTCCGTTCTCAGTTCACCATTGCTAGTCCTGTACCATTTCTGGTTGTTCCCTCCATTGCAAGATGCTGCCATCACATTAACTGTAGAGAAGTCATAAGTGAGGCAGCCCTGGCCCGCAGCTGCTGACAAAACTTGAATTTCTTGTGTGCTTGAGTCATACTGGAACTGTTGATTTGCATTGTAGTTACAAGCTTGCATGTATGCATTGTCACCACTACCGATGTCAACATTCATGCAAAGACCGCTGTCACTTCTAAGTGTGATGAAGACATTAGAAGATGGCTGTGCGCTGGGGACGGAAGAGAGACTCGGTGACATACTGGGAAAAGAAGAAGGACTCATCGAAGGACTGGTGGAAGGACTCTTTGATGGAATTTCTGTAGGGACTCTACTAGGAGAAACACTTGGGAAACCTGTGGGAGAAAAAGAAGGGCTTCTGGTAGGCACAGCTGATGGACTGACACTTGGGAAACCCGTGGGAGCAAAAGAAGGGCTTCTGGTAGGCACAGCAGATGGACTGACACTTGGCATCCTTGTGGGTCCAAATGTAGGCCTGCTGGAAGGCACATCTGATGGACTGATACTAGGGATTTGTGATGGAGAATCTGAAGGACTGACACTTGGCATCCTTGTGGGTCCAAAAGTAGGGCTTCTGGAAGGCACCATTGATGGGCTTGATGATGGCAAAGCAGAGG